TCGAGCGGGCTCACGGCGCGGCTCCGACCGGTTTCTCTTCCGACGTAACCGTCAAGCATTCAAAGCAAGCAGCAGGGCGAAATCGGCGATGATGATGATGAATTCGTCCACCAGACACGTTTGAGGAAGCCACGAATTACCCTGATTTCGTGTTCTTTCTAATGTGGGTAGTACTAACCTCACTCTCTCTCTCTCCCTCCTTTCCCTCTCTTTCTCAACTTTCCAGCGATCGAACCGCCTCCCTTCCCCACCCCTATCTGCCTCAGACAACACCCAGGCGTAAGAGCTGGTCCTCGAAGCACCCGGATTGTTCCGGCATTATTCCCACAAGAGCAAAAGTTCCCCAACAACTACGCTCCACATGAACGGCATCAACAGAAGGGCACCAACAACACTGTCGATGTCGAAGCAGCAAGCACAACATACCTGTCTCGGGCGACGAAGGTGAAGTTGGCGTCTAGCCAACAGCTGTCGTCATCGCCATCCGCCCATGGGTCGTCCCCTACGTAGCACAACCCGGGAGCTGACGTCGAGCACCTGGCGACCAACGTCAGGATGAAACCGGTCAACCCGAATGGGGTCAGTCGCCGTGTTGTCGATTAGGTCCCAACGAGTGTCCGTCGGCGACAAGGAGGCCAGAGCAAGTTGCAAAGGGGGGCGATTGCTGCCGCCTACATTCTGCCGGACGCCAACATGATATCACATGTCCGCAACTTGATACTCATGAATTCGGTTCAAACCATCGTTGGTGAAACGTTTAGGAACACGTCGTTGCCTGACCCTAAGATGTGAAACACAGGCTTGCCTCATGTTGATGACCATGCTCGACCTCCCCGTCCACACGACTCTGCCCATCAAGGTGATGTCGCAGTCAAGCTCCGGGTGCCTACGCAAGACTATCCTGTACCAGCATAGCATTTGGGACCGACAATGGAGCCGGGTGTGCGTCAAGAGGAGACGCTCTCGCCGCTTCGAACCATTCCGCTAGTATGAACAAACAGAATGGTCGCTAGTCCAGCATGGCACACCTACGACTGGAACGTGGTGATTGTCCAGCAGCAGGCGAGGAGAACATACATATTTGGACACTCCACTTGGAGGTAGGAGGTTCCTCCGTTGGATATGGGACATTGATTCCTCCGAGTACAACAAGAACCTGGAAATGATGGGGCGTGGCCCCATACAGATGAAAGCTTGGACCGGCGGAGTCTCGAACGGCATCCATGTTGTTGTGAACCGTCATAGATATTCGTTGTGCAATTTTCAGGCATCTTTGCCCTTTTCATCAAGCCTTTGAACTCGTCACGATTGGGCTATGACAGTTGTTCAGAATGTACCTGTCTACCGAGGCAGTGACCAGCAGGGGAAAGGACGGGTCTTCGGAGCAGTGCTTGAAAGCAATGTTCCCCGCCAACGCGTCCAAGTCCTCAAGGATCCTCCCGATCTTTCACGCGCGGCGAGACGTGCCGGATCAAGGGCAGACAACGAACAATTACAAATGAGGTCGCACGTTGTGAATCCTTCAAGGCCCCGAAAACGGCCGCGCAACGTAAAAAGCCCGGTGGCAGATGAACCGCTTGCCATTCGGGCAAACCTCCCCATGGCTCGACCATATGCTTGATGCTCATTCCACCAAGAAACCTCCTGACAATGTTTCAACGGCAAAGGTATCCTCCATCCCCCAGCCGTGCCTTCTTGTGCGGTAGCCTTCGCACAGTTTTTCTATTAACTTAAGCCAACATGTTAGATGAAGCTTGCAATCGGGGAAGTTGGATTGGTGAGGGTTAGGGTTAGGGTTAGGGCTAGGGTCTGCGTAGCCCCTCCCTGTTCAATTTCCTCATAAACTTAAGACGGTCCCTCCTGTGCACCCCCGCCCCCCCCGCAACCTGTCTGCGACTTCTACTCGCGTGCACCCTGAACCCCTCGCCTCCCTCCCACCTTACCCGCACGAGGCCCCCTGGGTTGCGATAGTCTTCGCGGAGGAACGAGTCGGTGGAGAAGGGGTAGTGGATGGCGCTGCGGCTGAGCGACGGTGGCACCGGGCGAAGGTTTGCCTGGGGAGGTTGTCCCCCAGCCTCTCTTCGTTTCTCCTGGCGGTGGTGTGTGGACGGGGGTTCAGCAAGGATCGGGTGTTCTGGCAACACGCGTGAAACAGTTGTTTGTGGCTGCTGTCGCCGCTGCTGCTACCGCTTAAAACCGTGGTGAAACGACCGTTTAAAGAACGAAATTGCGCACAACTGTCGATGAGAGGCCAGTACAGGTTCGGGGCGATGTGCTCGTTGGCGAAGTGCTGGTAGAAGGACCCAGGCGTGCTCCACATGAGTGCAACGGAAATCGCCGCATTTGCATTCACCTGGAACTCCATCTCCGCACGCCGAATCTCCCACAGTGCCTGCGTTATCGGAGATCTGGAATTAGCGCAAACCACACGAAAACGTTGCGGTAGTTTGAGGTGTTGAAATATTGTTGCTGATTTTCATTTGCTGTGGGTTCGATTTGATGTGTGAGATCATTTTTCGAACCGCCAGCTTGTGGAGTAGGTTGGCTTGGTCGCAAAAACGGCACCGTATTATAGGCTAGGTACCTTGTACTGCGAGGAACACGGCCCGGCGTGTCTGCCTCTATGACTACAGTACACAATAGGCCGAGCAATGAGCCGCGGGGTAGCCGACTCAATACCTTGCAGTAGCCTATCTGCGCTGCTTTGTGCGTGGGCGGGTGGTAGTCGATCATCAACAAAAAAAAAGGCCCCTGGAGCGAACGGCCGTTGGCGTGTGCATGCAGCAGTACCGTAGGTGACATGACACAAGATACCACACCCCCTACACCGATTTCGAAGCTCGGTTGCTCCACACCACAATTAGTGACGGTGCCGATAATATTCATGTGGGGACCGTCCCGTCGAGAGCTTTCCGACAGCGTCTTGCTGGGTGTGCGCATCCTCTTCGGCGTGGAGTATTCAAACTTTCAAAATCGGTACAGGGGGTGTATTATCTTGCGTCACCTTCGGTAGACGTCATGCATACGTTACCCCGCCGATTTGGGTTTTCGGTGGTTTATCTGCACAGAGTGAGGCAGCAGCAATTGCAAAGCTGTTCCCCGTGAGATGTGTGTATGCAACGTCTTGTGTAGGGCTAACAGAGGACACGGGGCCATAGGACCCACGGAACCTGAGGTGACGAGAGTCGGCAAAATGCATGCATCCGAGAAAAAACACCCGCCGCCAAAAAAAGGACTTGTTTCTTCCGGGTCACTGGCTTGTTTCCAGGTGACCCCTTCCGACACACCGACGCAGCAGCAATGACTATGGCATCCGCCGCGAGCTGTGCTTTTGGCTCCCTTCCCTCGCCAGTGCTGTCTTTCCCCTCCCAGCGGTGTTGCGTGTTTCGCTGATTGCTTCCTCTGTTCCAACTGCGTGACTGCGTGTGTGTTTGTGGGTGATCTCCTATGGTTATGGGGCACAAATATCGGTGAAGTACGGCCATCTGCTGTCGGAGCACGACCAAACCGATGTGGTGCAGAGCGCCCTATTTTCTTCGTCACAAGCCAGCAGATTGTCAATCAGGGAAAACTTATGTGGTCGCTTATAGAAAGTTGGGGCCCCTGGTAGATAGAGCCTGTTTTTCCCTCCTGGGGCGGAGGAAAGGAACGGTCGCGTTTCGCGCTCCGCGGCTCTTTAAATCAGGGCTTGGTATGTAGCCTTGCTCCACTTCAGGTAGGTCTGCTTTCTGTGTGATGAAGTGGCACATTTGCACATGTATCTTTGTGGTGCATCGTACAGTACTGGGTTATCGTATAGCTGTACTGGGTTAGTTTGTCACCTACGGAGAGAGAGCAACACTTGGTTAAAAGAGTTGGGAAGGTGGTATGGTCCGTGCAATAGTCTAACGTTGCTGTGTGCATGTTGATCTACTGAAAGGTATCCTCAATCATCTACAGATGTAGATCTACCTTCTGCTGCGGTAGACTGCAGACTAGAAGTGAAGTACAAGATAGCGCCTCTAGTTTAGGCCGAGGCCAAGGTTCTTTGTTCCCTCTATATAGGTGTTACTGCTTTAGGGTAGGGGTTCTTAGCCGGGCTCCGAAAGTACTCTACTTCTTCCAGTAGATACTGAGTTTTTCGAGGATTAGGAGTGTCCTCAATCCTCAACTGCTAAGTTCGTCCGTATCTAGATACCGAAAGCACTAGTTTTGATTAGCTGTTGCGGCAAGAAGGTGTGTCAATGTGGATGAACTGTGCCTCCGTATCTTGGGAACGCCCGTCAACCTCGCAAACGCAAGGCAGTCGTACTTGTACTGTGGGTTTGAATATAATTCTTCGTATGCTTGAGATATCTTGATTGTCCAGAGCAGGGAAATCAGAGGGGCAAATGGACGCCGACCAGATCATGGCAGACAGACACACCCTATGATTGATTTCCTCCTTACTTGAACGCTCCCGGTTGCACCTCGTCCTCATTGGATGGCACAATATGTGTCGAAGAAGAAACGTTTGGAATCTTGCCATAGCAGCGTACCGCGCTGCTGGCATCTGCTGTGCCTGCTGTCCATGCTGTGCTAGGACTGCTGTTGTTGTTCATGTAGCCGACGAGACTGTTAGCCCTTCTTCGAAGCATTCCAGCCGCATCAGCATTCCTCGTTGCCCATGCTCGTCGCGCAGCCTTCATTGGCACGCGCCTCGAGGTGCTTGTGGACTTGTGCACGCGGCAGTTGTGTGTCCTTTCTATACAATCCCCAGGCAGATCGTTGCGTTGCCCGTCGAACTTGGTCTGGGTGTTGCTGAGGCTTGGCGGGGCAGCCTGAAAATACTTTCCAGGTGAGGACGAAGAGGGCCCCCCCGTGTCTCATCTAACGGGCCCCTACCTTGCTCCGACTGCGCAAGTGAGGCAGGTACATGACACGTTTTCTGTCGTCTCTAACTCTCTCGCTCCTTCCTCCTCCTCACGCACCCCTAGTTCGGCGAAGGCCGCGCTATCTCTATCGGGTGGGAAGCTGCAAACTTCGTGGCCGCTCTAGCGTTGCGAAGGGCCGCTCAACCAAGGCAGATCGATCGACCGTCGTATCATGCAGCCCTTGATCGACGAAGGCGTGCCGCCTCGTGTTGAAGCTCCTTTCCCTACTCCTGCTGCTGCTGCTGCAGCATCACCCGGTGCTGCTACCGCTGCTGCTGCTGCTATTCTCCCTCCCGCTTTCCACATGCATGGCGCGGCGCTGGCGCTGTCCGGAACCAACCCGCCGTTTGTTGGATCGGCGGTATTCGAGGCCTTCCAAACTTCTCAAACATCGGACACCGGAAGTAGTAGCGGCAGCGGCAGCAGCAGCAGCGCCGCTTTCCTCGACCTACATGGCGCAACCACCCCTCTCAGCGAACTTCCCGCGGGGTCCGAGCATCTCGGCCCGCATGATGGTGTCCTGCCCTCGCCGACGTTGGCCGGGCGCAAGCGTTCGCAGCCCACGGGGGGCTGGAGCTCGTCGAACGATGGCAATGACCAGGAGAGAGCCACTGCAGGCGCCGCCAGCAGCAGCATGTGCATGCGGCGCAATCAAAATGATCATTCCGAGGCCAGGCCCTCGAGGTTCATCATGCAAGGGGCCGCCGCCGCTGACGCCGCCGCTGGTGTGGTCGGAGTTAAGGGAGAAGTGGGCGATGGCTTTCTTGCGGCTGGTGGTGGCAGCAGCGGTACCACCTCCAGCGGAGCCAGTAGGGCAGAAGAGATGGAACTCGATGTAGGCGATACGCCGGTTGCCTACCTCCGGGCAGCCACCAGCCAGCAGCTCCGGGATGATGCTACGCGTAGCACTAGCAGCGAAGTTCCAGCGGCAACCTTTGTCGCTGAGCCAAGCACGTCGGGTCCTGCAGTAGTTGTTCCTGCCGCTACGACAGAGACAACCCCTGCTGCTGCTGCTGCTACTGCTGCTGCTGCTGCTGCTGCTGCCGCCGCTGTCTTTGTGCCCGGGGTGGCGGCTACTGCTGATGCAGACAACGGGAGCGCTGCTGACCCTGTGTCCTGCCTGGGCGACTACAACTTCAGTTTCGAGGTGAGACAGATAACACACCTTGAAAAAATGGTGGTCTATTTATTCAGTAGTGGTCCCGATGTAGTAGTTCACCGCAACATGCAATACAACAGCAGTGGTACCCTGAATAGTGAGTTGCCCGATATGTTGGCATCAAAACCTGTTGTCATTCTCACATGAACCCGATACATCGAATACAGCAGTAGGTGTCCCGATATAGTGCCGGTATGTGTCTATTTAGGCGATTTGGCCGGCACTATACCGGGCACCGGCACTATTCAGAATTGTGCCTGAATAGTGCCAAACCGGCACTATTCAGGGCCTAAAAAACCCTCTTTAGTGCCGACTTGGCACTATCAGGACTGTTCGACTTCAGAGTGCAGCGCTTGCGCTTTGCGGGGCTGACAGAGTACCAAACGAACGGTATTTGGATCAATCGTGAGGTGGGCGACGTGGGCGGACAAGTTTCTTGAGGCTCTTTTGACTGTCGAAAACACGGCATTGGTCACATTAAAATTATCTTGATTGACCAGATAGATTTGCTGCACAGCAGTTATTGTTCTCTTCCCACCTCAGGGCAAGCACTCGCCAGTGAAACGTTGTTGCTGCCTTTCAACCGTAGACCGTGCTGCCGATAAAAGTTCACTTCGCTATCAAATTATTTTGTGTTGTATTGCAAGAAGGCCATACCACTATTCAGGCAACCTCAAAGGCGTTCCTCGACAGCGAAAGAAAGACGCTCATGCACGTACCCGATGTACATTTGGAGGTAAAACAAGGATGGATGTAGTGCTCCTTACATTAGCACACAAAAGCAGATGCAACCTACGAAACCGGTGAAGAAGTTAGCGAACTCCCCTGTTCCTTCGATAAAAAGCTAGCGAGAAGACCAAGCCTTCAGAAGTAAGAAAAACGACTAGCCAACCAAAAGACGTCAGTCTCAGTGCGATCAAAAACAGAAAATATTTGTTTCTCAAGGCCGTGAGAAGGTGTCGTGGAGGAGGCTGAGCTATTCTCTGGATAAAAGACAGAAATGGCTAGTACTTTGAGCACGCGTTCATTTCGGAGTGTTTTCATCCTTCCTTCAAAGCAATCACTACACTATCACTATACACTCGTCACTAATACTTTTCCACTATTTTTCGGGCTTTCATCTCTAGATGCGCCCCTGCGGCGTTTGTTGCGAGGGAGGTCATCTCGCTCGAAACTCTTGTTGTTCCCCTCAACGCCATATTTTCCTCCTGCATCATCACTGCTATCCTTGGCTATATTTTCAATATCCTTCGTCATGATGTACCACCATCTTCCTTTTCGCTCGCCTCACTACTGAAATCCCAGCCTATTGGTGGAACCTGGTCGATCGGTAAACCGTGACATTTGAACACGTCACGCGTACCGAGAGAACCCAAGCTACAGATGGCGCCCGCACTTGAGAACCTCTTGTTTCAGCCGAGGCTGGGGTTCTTTTTTTGCGTGTAAAGCTTGAGGCGAAAAAAGGCTGTGTGTGGGGTGTGAACCGGTACTATTGAGGGGTTCGATAGTGCCTGAACCGGCACTATTCAGGCCTGTGTCTGTGTCAAGAAAGTTTGCCGGCACTATTCCGGACTTTGGCACTATTCAACCGGCACTATATCGGGACACCTACTGTACATGGTACTGCTGCAGCGGCACTGCCCTGAAAAGTGGCATATTCTGCTCTTGCCCCTACATGCCAGATCGGGACCCCATTGATGCACGGCAAGTACTTCTACTTTTCATGTCTTCTGTTCTCAAGTTCTTAAACAATTCGCATACAGGTGTTGCAATCAAATGCGTAGCGGGAGGTGTAGGGTGGCGCCGAACAAAGGACAGGTCAAATAAACACGAAACTGCCCTTTGCGACGACAACGTGTGGCTCAATACCCGCCCTCAAGCTAACTGCTCCTGGTGACCGGAGGCGACTGGGGTGCAAAAAATGGGATATGTGGCAAGGAGTCGTGACACGAAACCATGGTCTTACTACGGCGCAACAACGTACAATAATACGACGCACCGACCAGATATTCAAGTTCATACGGTCAACAAACATCCGGGAAACGCTTCGTTAGACTCGGTTCCTTGTTTCGTCGCCTGCGTGGCGTGTGGACCATAAGTTGACATATACCGGAGGATGAGTACCAGTATCCACCGACCATGTGTGTTTGTCAACCTCAAGTTCATTTTTTTCTGGAAAATGTGAGAGGGACTTTGCTTAGCCCTGTGTGTTGGAGAAGGCGCGGCTACGCTATGTCGTATCATAGAAATGTTCCCGTTGCCTTTCTGGTGCATGCAGTACCAGTAGTCACGTGGCTGTGTCGTTGCTGCTTTGGTGAACGGAGCACGACAGCGTGACGGCTCCGCAGCAATCAGAAACATGACATGTTTCCAATAAATTAGTGCAAAAGAATAGGTTTGTAGGCACACCATTCTGGTTGACCAAGGCATTGCTCTAGCTTGAAACAGCTTCGACCTCGAAAACGCCTCCAGCATTTCCTGATTGCCGTCCGACGGTCAAGATTCCGAGTACCATTCGTCATCGTGTGCTCGCGGGTTGATCATGCAAGGCATGTTGGCGTAAACGCTGCGGTGTTGATCCGACCGCGCAATGCGTGGCCCCTTGTTCAATCCGTGTAGTTCTGTGTTGAATCCGATCGCATGCCGTCCCATACCGCCTCTCCTTCATTGAGTGTAGCCCACAGCGCATGTCGTCGCGTTCCGTACCCAAGCCTCGATACGATGACGAACGCCATGCACGACGCAGGAGCTGAACAAGATGTCGAAGCGGTATCCAACGGTCAGCACTCTCGCGGACCAAACGCCCATGCCCCTTCTCGGCTGGCTGACGCGCGAACTGGACATGAACCACTACGACATGCGTTGCGTGAGTGTACTTCTATGTTTGGTAGAGTGTATGCGGTTCTGCTGCCGGCACCGTAGTAGTAGTAGTAGTAGTAGTAGTAGTAGCAGCAGCAGCAGCAGCAGCAGTGGCAGCAGTGGCAGTAGTGTTTCAAGGTTGCTCGCCAAAGCTCATTCGAAACTTGCGACCCTGATGAATGAGTGTGAAAAAGATGGCTCGCGTCTGACTGTGAAAAGATGGAGAGCGACTCAAGTGTTTTCGGCACTTTACTAGCTCGCAGTGTGCAAGGGCTGGTCCATACCGAAGTTGGGACATGGAGGAGGTTCACGAAGTGTTTTTTTTTTTCGAGTTGTATTGCTGTGCACCTGCTTAAGCAGGAAGTTTATACGCGTCGAGATGTGCTTGCGGTACAGCAGTTATGCTCTCCTAAGAACTTATCGGATGGCAACTTGGCCCAGATTGTGGCGGCCCCACGCTTTGCGGACCAGTCAAGCAACCGAAACTAAGTTGCGTGGCGATGAGTGGTGACGACAAGGCGAGGGAAATTGTGATGCTCTCTTCGTCCTTGTGGTCTCCGCTTCGCTCTCTCTCCCCTGTCTCATTCTCCTGGCCTCTCTGTTGTTCTGTTCCTTCTGTATCGGTAGTTGATACTGCGGCACCCCCGGCTAATGGCGTATCGCGTGACGTCCCACGTTGCTCCGAAGACGAAGTGGCTCAGAGAGCGACTGGGCTTGGGCCAGGCAGCGTTGAGGAAGGTACATGTACAGGCGCATCAGCAGCACCAACAACACCAACAACACCGTAGAGCGGTTTGTGCACACGAGCCGCGCATTTCAGCAGCAGCTACTGTCGAGTAGAGAGCGAGCCGTGCAAGGCGATGAGACGCCATTGAAACGTCCGCGTCGAACTCAAATGGTTCCGTGTCGATTTGTTGCTGTGAGCGCAGAGAGCTTGCTGCCTCCTTTTCAATGTCGCTGCTTCTGTCCAGCTATCATTCGCCACACGCTCTTCCCTCCCGCTCTCTCCCTGCCTCTTGTCACGTGAAAACGATGTGTTCCCCCTGGGCAGCTGGTGACAACTTACCCGGCGGTGTTGAGCCGCAGCGTGGAAAAGAACTTGGAGCCAAAGTTCAAATGGCTAGAGGTAAGCGCGAAAGATAGCCTCCCTTCCTGCAGGGAGTATGCCCGTAGCGATGTATCGGAATTTTGGGGCCCGTTTTTTTTTTTTTACAGGGGTGGGTGGGTTGGTGTCGATGTGTTTGTCGCCCCGATACCGTTGTTGGGAAGAGCGTGAGGACGGATGCCACAAGCAGATGTCACCATTCACGCAGCGTTCGGTGTTCTTGATTGATTGTCGTCGGGTCTAGTTTGGTCGTGGTGTGGCAGGGAAGCTATTCCTGTGTGTAACGCCGACGCTTGATCAGCTGAAACCTTGGTTTACCTCTGGGAGGATTGGGGCAAATGGTGGTCCATCTTTCTTTGATGGTCGCTCAGTGTGGTATCCGTATTCGTAGTTGTCGCTGTACTGTAAATGGTATCCCGTGTCGTTTGTCAAAAGTTGTGTTTGTCGTAAATTCTGCGCGAAAGTGTACGTGTTTTGATTCTGAGTAACCTTCGAACCCCGTTCTTTTAATACCACTACCGTTGGCAGGCGCGGCTGGGAGCTTCTCAAGAAGAAGTCGCGGTACTCATCAAGCGATTTCCGTTGATTTTCGGGTACAGCACTACACAGGTATCCTCCGGAGTACACGTGCCTGCTGGTTGGCCACACAAGGGTTTTTCGTATAAAACCTAATTTCCGAAGTCGTCGGAACGAAGAGAATGATGGCGCCCAGCGATCGAGTTGTTGGTTTGGGTCTGTCCGAAATGTTATGCGGGAGAAGTCGGACTATCAGTACCTGTACCAAGTGCCAAGAGCGAACGCGTGGCAGTGTGACAGGCGCATCGATATCTCTGCAACGGATGCCTCCAGGAAAGCTTGCCGACGAGATACATAGTTGTAGCACGGCTTGTGCTTTTTAAAGAAAAACAGTACCATCACGCGAAATGTCCATTTCCTCTTTTCGCACGTTGAGAACGAGATATGCGTACTTGCCTGTGAAACCATCGGCACGTGTTTCTTTTCATATTTTCTCTACTGGTGCCCCGTCCTACATGGTCGAATTAGCCTGCAGTCCCATAACGAAGGGAAGCGAATTTTGGGGACCAGCTCACACCCTACCCCACCCCCATTTTCATTCGCTCTTTTGCGTGCCCCCTTCTTCGCGACCGCTGCCGATGGGTGACGCCGGTGCAGAACTTGGAGCCAACGGTATTGTTTTTCATGGTAGACCTGAGTGGCGAGCAGGAGGAGATCAAGTCTGCCATCATGTCGTGCCCTTCCATCCTCAGCCGGAGCTTGGACAAGAGGATGCTGCCGAGGGCCCAACAGATGCGCGAGAAGGACATCGAGCCCCGGTTCGGCCCGCACAAGTGGGTCGTGTCCACCTACACCGACAAGCAGTTTACGCGGTGGCTTAAGGGGAGGGGTACATGAGGGAGGTTGGTTACTGCGACCCGCCTGAAAAGAATTTTGCGATATGCATATATATTTATGCCCACCCAACGCACGTTGTAAGTATTGTACTGGTCCGACACACTATTAATAGTAGTGTACATAGCACCACCGAGATACGCGTATGATAGTGTTTCAGGGCCTGTCTTCGCGCTCCAAGCGGAGGTTGCGTGTTGCCGTTTACTCGGATTCGAGAACGAGCGATCCAACATTGGGGTGGTGTGGTGATGAATGACGGAGGGAGGGTATGTTGGTGCGCCTTTCGAAGCAAGCCCATGTTGTACGCTAGCGTATGCTACTGTACCAGACTTTGTGCCATAGGAAAACCGCAGAGATGTTGACGCCTTCCCAATGTTCCCGTATTTTTTAGCCAAATTACCCAGCCATGCCCGGCCGGAGTGTATGTGTTGGGGTTTTCGATTGATTGGACAAGGAGATGGCGGCACTCTCAGTGTCAAGATTTTGAAGAGGGTGCTCAATCGGTTGATTTACACACCAAGCCGAGAAATTTGGTTGTGTTTTTTGTGAATGGCTTACGATAAGCTCCGCATTGATGCGGCTCCAAACGTGAGATATCGTATAGCCCGGGATCAATCCATGCTTCGTTGGGCGAGTTGGTAAGCTGATACGAAAAACATGCTCTGTAAAGGCCTGGATAAACACCAACGTGGCACCTTCACCACGATACTCTTGCTTTGCTCGCTTGAAGATGAGCGTGTGAGCGCGCGTCTGTGACGCCGTCGCATGCGGACAAGTCATTAGGCCCACACGTCACCGCACTTGTATCCTCATGGGAGACAACTAGGTCAGTCGCTAGTCCTTGTCTCAACACCTTGGAATTTCAACCCTCTCGTTCGGATGTCCAAACAACCCGCTATCAATCAATTCGCTAAAGAACGCAATCACCACGTGGAACTCTATCGGACCCTTCACATCCAATCCGTTTTCGCCCTAAGCACCTAGCCTTTTCCGTATTATTCCACGAAAACTTGGTCGTCGCGAGTTTTGGTGTGCATCTACGACATCTACGACGGACACGCAATCACTCCCCCCAGTTGGCTGCTGCGCCTGATTCCCAATATCCCGCTTCGGTTATTGTACTCATATTCCAAGAAAAGAGAAGCTTCCTAACGTCTCTCGGTCTGCCCGGAACACCGAATGCCAATGTCCTTTAGGGCGTGCCGCGCAATCTTGGGTGAGGGAAAAACTACTTCTCACGATCGCCAACGAGGCTGGCGGGTGCATCATCCCTGCACTGCTGGCTGTGGAGGGAACCTCACCTATTCGCCATTCTCGCGAACGTTCCTTAAAACGTTAGCCGATCAAAGAGAGAGAAAGAGACGGGGCGAAAAACCGCTTACCGAAGTGACGTGTACCAAGGGTCTCGGCGCAGCGCTAGGCGTGAAACAACGTCGATGAAGCTTTGCCGCAGTGGCCTCACGTTCCTGATGCCAGCATCTCAAGAAATCTAGTGGCGCACACAAGACCGCACGAACTAAAAAGCAACCAACAACCAACGCACAGATACCCTGCCTACTTGCGTTCCTCCTACCTTGCGTGCCAGCGAGGGTCAACACTTACTGCTACACCACCTGCACATCAGGGTCAACCTTAATGCTGAACAGACACCACGTGGTGACCCACCCAAGACGATGCGAGGGTCAAACCACTCGTCCACGCGTTTGGAGAGCAATTAAAGAGTAGACAAGGTTGGTTTTTTGTAGCCAAGGGTCAGTCAGTCCGGCTTTTTCATATGCACGCCCCTGAAAAGAGTGAGCTGTGGGGCTACCAAAATGGCCGCTCAAGTCTGTGCCTGGACTGCCTGGTATCCCATCGTCGGAGCGGTGAACTCGCCCTGTTACGCGCCGGTGGAAAGCGAAGAAATGGACGGAGACGCAATCTTGTCAGCCCAACAGCGGCCATCCAGAAGACAATACCGTTCTAACGGGAGTGAAGTAGGTCGTATTCGAATTAACATTTACCAAGTTACTGACATCCCGTTCAGCAAGAATAAGTCAGCAGATGAGGTGGACACCGGGGTATACGCCCTCGAGTCTGATGGCGTACAATATACACGTGTGCTAGGAAATCAATATGCTCCGTTTCTTTCTTTGTGTCGCGGGAGGAAGCTTACAAAAAAAAAAAAAAATGCTGCCATATCAAACCAGAACCCCTGGGTAGTTGGGCTTGTGGACGCGGCAACTGCAGGGTATTCAGCGACAATGCAGTGGTTCGCCGCCTGACATGCACTACGAAATGAGGCGACCAGAATCACAGCAATCAGGGTGATCATACTGTAGCTCCTCCGCCAACCACTACATCGACTGTAGAGGGAGGCGACATCCACAGCAACACAAACAATCAGGAGCGTGTTAAGGCGAAACAGAAACAAGAACGTTCTATCTTAGTGGTCGCTGGAGGGATCATGTCACATGCACATGGTACTACTGTAGAGGCAACACAAAAAAAAAGCGAGGAGCGAAACCTACAAAAGGTGCCACATTCGATCCCAGTTATCGGGTGCTAGGGTCTATCCACGCCAAAAACAACGTGCTTCGGTACCACGACGACATTGTATCATCCACACATCAGTCGAACAGGAATGGATTTAGGAGGTCCAAGAGCACAGCCCGGGTGTGATTTCAATGTGACGACAACAACAGCACGCATACCGAAACACCTTGATCTAACGTCTTCCTGCCTAACCGTGTGACCGGTCGACGGACAACGCGTCTCTTGAAATAAAACGTTGTCGCCGCTACTTCGTGTTTGACAGCTGTGCAACGTTATCAAGGGTGACGTCGAATATCTTGTCACGGCTCTTCATGTCTTGAGAGCCATGTATACAACGTGCTCAACCTTGCATGTCAAAACATCGTCGCGGCTACTTTCATGTTTTGAAAAGCTCAACAACGTAATGTCAAATAACATTGTCATAACTACTTCATGTTTTGAACGCTGTACAACAAAATGTCAAAAACATTGTCACAGCTACTTCCATGTATTGAGGGCTACCATCAAGGTTGATGTCAGGGTGAGCGGCTGTGCTCGCGAGCAATTCCGGACTTGTGATAGCACAACCATGAACACAACAGCTGGCAGGTAGGCACCGAGAGAATAACGGCAACGTCCTTGCTGCAGTGAAACTCCGGTAATTGCCCCGTCAACACAGGCGCCTGCGCCCCCACCTGTCCCTCTACAGCTGGACTATCGCACACCCGCTTCCACTCCCCGCTGCCGCCGGCGGCGCCCCTCCCCCTCCTCCGGTTCTTCAAGACCTTGAACCCAGCCAAGACGATGAGCGAAAACGCCGTCATGATCATGGCGATGTGGACACCGCCAAGGCGGCGGTGGTCGGAGGCGTCTTGCGAGAAAATTCCAGGAGGCATCCCCTTGACCGGGTAGCGGCCGTTGAACCGGTTGCACGCATCGATCACCTGTTCGACCGCAAAAGAAAGCGGAACTAATTAGTTGATAGGGCCGATTTCGCCGATCGGTTTGCGCTGTGGACCTTGTGGTGTATTGCTATTTAACATCGACCTCGCCGACTGGGGGAACAAAAAGAATGCAATTCGAAACGGGATAGAATAAAACGAGAAGTCAGCGATGCATTGTCGCAAACAGCACTGGGTCCAACACAAAATAGAGTCCGCGTGACGCCACGCTTCGGAACAGCCAACAATCGTCCAAGCATAGTACCGTGTCACTGATGTGAACACAATTGATGCATTATCGCCGCAGACCATGGCAGGCGGTAGCCTACATACATGCGACCATTGTAGCCTATACCAGGTGCGTGTCAAGCGTTCATTGCGGGAAGCCGTCGTGTACATACTGCATAAGGTTGGGGTGGGCTTACGTCTTCGTTGAGCTCCAGGTTGTCGACGTGGTAAGGGAAGTAGCCCTTGTCCGTGGCGGCCAGGTAGTCCCATCGCACCTGAGCACAAACAAAACACGCGTTCATCACCAAAAAAGGAAAGGTTTTTGTCACAAAAAAAAGGGGGATTCGTCACGACACGCCCGCATCAGGAAGAAAAAATAAAACAGGATGAAGAAAAACGTTCCACGCAGACGTACAAGGGAACAAGCTGACAAGCTGATTCACAAGGAAACACCAAGTACTGTAGCATTGCTCCACACAAACGCACGAGGGCTGAAACTGAAAGTTGTTGTTGTTTGTTGTTTTTCTTCACATAAACTCGTTTCAGTTGCTAATCCCAAAATCTAGCCAAGACTCGGTCCGTGGTCACAAAAATGCTAGAGCCATCAGAAGATCTGAAGAACACACACACTATTAGCAAGGCAAGGGTACGCAAGCCTGAGGAGGTACACCTGCAATCCCTGCAGCACGCTTGCGTGCTCACAACTGAACTACACGCCCACACACTACAAATCGACTACAGCAGCGTNGTTGCTAATCCCAAAATCTAGCAAAGACTCGGTCCGTGGTCACAAAAATGCTAGAGCCATCAGAAGATCTGAAGAACACACACACTATTAGCAAGGCAAGGGTACGCAAGCCTGAGGAGGTACACCTGCAATCCCTGCAGCACGCTTGCGTGCTCACAACTGAACTACACGCCCACACACTACAAATCGACTACAGCAGCGTCATCACCCCCCTTGTCCCGCATATAACCAAAATGAATGTTTGTCGACTACAGCGTGCTGCTGTCTGAAGTGCTGTCTTTACAATAATAACACCATGGTGCATGGTACACAAGCTCGGGGCATGGAGCTGCTGTCTGAAGTGCTGTCAGAATGAGCCCGTTGACATACAATGAAGAAGAACGCCCAACCAAAGCCATCATTGCAATTGACAATCACCCGAATCTATCCAGATCATCTGTGTTAGGCACAGCAGTGAAAACAACGACACTGACTAGGAATCGTTCCACATTGAAGGGGTTTTCCACGATGCTGGTACACAACTAAGGCACCCGGGTTATCCGCGCCACCTCCGCCGCGTCTCTCTACAAAACCAGTGACGCCACCACACACACCCAACACCGGTATTCAGGAAAAAAACGGAAAAATGGTTGACAATACAAGAGATGTTTGTCCGTGCGCCACGGTTCGATGCCGTCCGCCTGCTCCGGTTCCGCTGCTCCGGTGCCGCTGCTCCGGTGCCGCTGTGGCCAGTCCTAGCACTACCAAACTCGACCCGCTCCGCTTCGTACACGCTCTCGTTGCTGTCCTTCCCAGTCGGTTCCTCGCTTTCTCCCTCGTCGCACTTAGGGTTCTCGTTCTGAAGATTCTCGCGCCGAAGGGTCAACCAGCCCAATCAGCTCGCTGTCCCCTCCTCCTTTGACGGCAAAACCAGGTTACTGAGACAGTACAGCTCCCTCTAGCAAACCTAGGGCCGTGTACATAGTGCCCGTCCACCTTTCTGATGACGTCTGCCTCCGCGCACAAAGATGGGATGGGCATTGCTGACTACACCGACGGCCTGGAGGCCCGCGCATCTGCACCTTTGTACCTGACGCACCAGTGCCGACCCAACTCCACCACTACGCACGCCTCGCGGCGGGTGCGCCGCAGCAAGAAGGTATCGGTCCCCTGAGGGTGAGTCTAGCCCTGCTCGCTAGAAAGACCCCCCCCTCGCGGTCATGCCTACGCAAAACCTTGCCGAGGCAGCGAGGGGAAGAGAGGACGTACATGCTCTCCAAAAGGAAAGAACTGGCACTATTGAATACAGAACGCGCCACCACTTGTAAATTCGATTCTTTTCCTGAGGCTCGATGGCTCTCTGGGGGTAGTCCAACATCTTGACAACCTATTCTTACTATCATGTTCTTCCGTTGGTCTCACTTTTGGCCTGAAATTCTGAACTGCCAGGTTCCAAATTTAGTGGTACATAACACATTTTCTAGTCTTCATACCACTAATTTACTACAGTGGCGTTGAGGACATGGCATGTGTGGATACCTCAAGCTCGGTCTTGAAGTTCCAGAAGAACCAACCGTGTCCGGCCTCGAAAGCATGCAGTTTCGCGTACGCGAGGCCCTGCAATTACGACAAGGCGGGGGGGGGGCAGGGTTCCACGAGGAGCAAACTTGGGTGGAACCAAATAGCGAAGGAGAGAGACAACGACAGAGACAGAGAGCATCAGTAACTGCGGATTTTCTTCCACTGTGCAGCGACACTAACCAAAAAAACAGATTTGTGCGCACCTATTTGCTTGTCGACAACTACTCTTCCAGGAGCGTGCGCAACTAGGTGTTAACGAACAACTAGGCAGTAGTTGTCTGGCAAATAACCAACATAGTTATCAGTGAACGTTTGTCCAGGGTGTGGACAATATATACATGCAAGACAACATGTGCCTACAGCCAGCATATACCCACCGTCATGAAGTCGTCCTCAGCGTGCCAAGCGGCGTCGATCGGGCACTTTCCGAAGCTCGGCGTGCTAGACCCGGTGCCGAAGGGGCCTGCCGCACACAAGGAGATCAAAGAACACCACCAACGGAACTCGGCGATCACATACACGCACACATGGAACAGAACGCAGCAAACTTCACACAAACACACACATGCTGTTGCTACCGTTTCTGTCTTTGATCCGGATAATAGATTAGCCTCCCCCATTCCGCCCCCTCACGGGGTCCCAGTCAACGACATATGGAAATGTTTTGAAACTGACGTCCTTTCGTTGTTCTTTTCATTGGTCAGCCGGTGAGCGTGGTCGATACTATAGATAAATACACACACATGGGACGGAGTATTCACGGAACGCAGTAACCTCCGCAAACACACGGAGCGGAGCACTCACCACATGGTACCAACTGGACGAAACGTTTCGAACGCCCACTTGCAAGCGCGTTGAGACTTACCCAAACCCCGTGTCTTGATAGTTTTACTTCGCGTCATATGCACCATTAGGTTGTGTAACGTCCGATGTGTGCAAGGACACTCATTTCTGTGGCTATTCCTACCATGTGAAAACAAAGATGAAACGACAAAAAAACTATATATCAAGGCGTGTTACACAACTGCCGTACGTTGCTCGGAGAACAGAGCAGAACCACATGTGGTCACAAAACTCCATGCCATGGACTCATCGCAATCGTATCGTAGGCACTTGTCTGTGGATAGAAGTTATGGTATGTATATACACACACTCATCGACGGGAGGTATGTTGGGGTTTGTTGAGTTGTCCTGCACTTGTGTGTGTGGATGGTAACGGGGTATTTTGTTTTGCGGCATATAAGAACGAAGCACGCAAACACAAAACACATTGAAGGGCATATATTCACTCACCGACGGGAGGCACGTTAGGGTTGACCGGGGCTCCGGGCTGTTCACCTCCCATGTACGGCAAGGGGCAGCGTACCATCCTGCACGTAGTCTGGTTGTGACACATAAACAGCGCCAAGCAACGCGCGAGCGGGGAAAAGATCGACCACCGCAAAACGAAAGTGACGGTTTCACGGGATGGCACGTATTTTTGCGGCGAGTTTGAAGCGATTCGCGTGTCGTCATCAAGACCATCATGCACGATTGCATGCTGGGGGGACGAAGGACTAAGGCCGGCAAGGGGAGGCAAAAACATCGGCGTAACGAGACGCGGGATGTATGTTCCCTAAGCACATGCCTCGCTTGGACAAGCTTCACTGCTAGCAATACACTTACGATACGTGAACGATTCAAACTTCCCTCGCAAGGACAAAAAATACCCCTGACGAAGATGTGGACACGCGGACACGACGCGTTGGATACTCCCCGTGCTATCTGTTTCTGTTGTGTGTTTTACCTGTGGGAAGCCCGGCAAGTTATCCTGGAAGCCGTTGAGCCACATAGCACAATTATCCGTCGCCAGCGACCACTCTCCGACTACGCAGACAGCATTGAAGCATCCGGTCAAGCAGCAGCAGCAGCAGCAGCAGCAGCAGCAGCAGCAGAAGTATCCACAGGAGCAACCGGCGGTTGTATTAGAAGCAGTAGACTAATTGTAGTGCGCAACGATATAAACACACAAAAAAAAAGCGGCCCCGTAGATGCAAAGGACGGGTTACCACGAGCAGCTATGTACCGTTATAGTCGGAGAGTTGGCACCGGGTGCGATCGTTTTTTTTTTTTCTCGGGTTATTTATCGCACCCCGGTGCCATCTCTCCGACCCTGGTGCGGAAATGTAATTAAATCACTTCGTTTAGAATATGCAAGGCACCCCGGGGCGATCTCTCCGACCGGTGCCATCCCCAATCAATTACATACAGGTGTTGTATGCACGCACCCCGGTGGCATCTCCCCGACCGGTGCAATAGTATTGATTGGTATCAGTGTAGGAAACAAACACACACGGTCTTCTTCACACGCTAGTTGACAATGCTATTGATCGATAGGCACCATTGTTGCCGGTTGGAAGCACACCGGAAACGGTAACGTAGGCTCGCACGCAACAGCATTTCATGCAGCGAGTGGTCTTGTGTTTGATGCGAGTCTGGCCATGGCGTGACAACAAACGATGTCGTTTTCATCTGAATTGGTACCAGTACACACGGTATCAATTGCTTGTTCCCGCTTTCGTTTCGGTCTTCTACGGATACCAGTACGTACGAAGAAGTACAATAGTTTCGGGTTGTGTAACGTGGGGTAGGGTGCGGCTTGTACGTTGTGTGTTTGGTTGAGTGTAGGGTCAGCAACTTCCAACCAAATAAAAAATTAAAACAACTGGCATCTCGCGTGAACCGCGACCATCTAATCGTACGCAAAGGCGTGGCGCTCCGCTGATACCGTCCCCAAGTGTACAAGGTACGCACATGTACCTCATTCCGGCCGCTGAAAAGGAGCTCAATCTTGGGATTTGGGGATCGGTGAGATCGCACCCGGTGCGTCAATCAATTTACATGTATTTTTTGTCGTTTTTTTTTTTTTTTATCGCAACCCAGTGCCATCTCTCCGACCGGTGCCAATTCTCCGACTACTACGGTAGACGACCAAGCCACAAACAAGAACACACCAGCAGTCAACGCCAATCAGCTCAGCCAACGATAGCTCTTCGTCTTGGTAGAAAATGAATGACGCTTGAAAGGAAACATCCCGCCCATCCGACACACGACCCGACAAGCCTTTTTAGCATCCAGCCGCAGCACCAGTCAAATTCGGCCATACCGCGGTAGGAGTGGGCCAAGGACGAACTACTCCAGCGGATACCACGTCTAGAACGAAAAAATACAAAACGCCGACTCTTGTCACAGGTATCCAGACCAGACCAGACCAGACCAGACCTGTTACTAATAAACCCATCCTAACGAGGCTACATGAGGTGATCAACATACGTCTACTAGACACGAAACAAATACCGTTTTACGTCCCACAAAAGGCTGCGTGGCGACTAATGCTAGGCGAAGATTCCCGTGCGGCTCGTCCTACCTAGGCACGTAGGAGACAGCAGCAGAAGCAAAGGATTTACCAATTCAAGGCAAAGGCTACCGTACACGTAAGGTAAGGGTCCGGTCACTCACTGACAACGGGCATGCCCTTCTCCTCCATGGCCACGATGTTGTTCTTCGCGTCGCAAGCGTTGGCGAGGTACCCCGCTTGAGGCCCCGGCGGCAACCAAGCCTGCATCAAACCGTTCGACGGCACGTGTTCGAGCTCATCATCAGATAGAAGCATATAACAACCAAGTATATATCAACCAACACAACAATGCATGCCGCCCGGGTGCTGCTAACCGCGGGGAGACCGTCCGTTTCCAAAGGCTAGCGTCCTCGCCGCCAATGCGAATACAGTACCCACATGGGGTGCATTGCATGTGGTGACCCAAACATCGGTCGGGCGGCGGCACACCGAACCACATCAGGTACCACACCACGCGAGGCACACGACGGCGAGAATGACTTGGTAACTTTGAAATGACACCAAATAAGGCGAGGCATATACATGCACAACCAGTGCAAGATGTGGGTGGGTCTCGAGCTTGGCTCACGTCGTTTCGACGCCGACTCACAGCACAAGCAAAACACAACACCTGGCGCACGACACGCCGGCGCAAGTAGAGTCCGAGCTGGACAATGGCAACAACCCGCACGAGCTAAACATGCGAGGGAACAGGGCATGACGTCATAACCTCAACATCGAAAACCCACCAACCGACCAATGGGCGAGAGCCAAGATCGCACGAAACTCCAATTCAAGAAGGCCACTGCTGCCGAACTTATCCCAAGTCACGCTCTTGTCAAGCTTGCAAGGAGAGCGACTCGAGCCG